GAGGAGGTCTGGCTGGGCGATGGGCTTCTAGATTCTGGGATCCGTCCTCTCTGGGGACTCTCCGGGCGTGGTTCATAAGAGGCCATGATTTGAACTCTCTGACGGGTATCGGGGTAGGGGCAGTCCCCTGGGGCTCCGATGGAGGAATACCACCTTAACGACACGAGACCTGTTCCTGCATGATGGGCAGATGCTTTTTATCCTGAGCTACTACAAGACCCGGAGTCAGAGTAATGCATCCCGATGGCCGGTTCGTTTCCTCCTCCCCGAGGTCGCCCAGCTAGTCACCCAGTACCTTGCCATTATCCAACCATTCTGCCGAGTTTCTCTAGCAGGAGACCCAGATTCCCGTGGCTATTTCTGATTACCTATGGTCCCGAGGCACTGGCCCCTGGGTTGATGATGCCATGACTCGGGTGGTTGTTAATACCGGGAAGCTGATCCTGGGGAAGCACATCCATGTCCAGGCATGGCGCCAGATCACGGTTGGTATCGCCCGACGGAAATTCGCTGCCACCGAAGCCAATCTGCTGATTGAGGAAGGGGAGGGGGTGGACGATGAGGACCCACACTCTATGCTCGGTAGCATGTCGGATGTATTACACTGGCAAGCCAGCCACACGCCCCATACCGGGAATCGGGTGTACGGCGGGACGGTGAATTTCCGGGCAGGGTTGACGGATGCCGGGCTACAGGAGTACCGACACATCAGCCAGCTGTGGCACCGGTTCGTCCGTGATCCCCTGCATTTTGAGCCGGCCGTAGCGACCCCACGTCGCATGTTCCCGCAGTGGGTGAGCCCATCCACCACCCGGCAGGGCGGACCGCGAACGGCATGGGAGTGGGATGAAACCCCTGCGAGTGTGACTGGCAGTGTTGAGACAGCATCCGTGGCCACGCCCTCGAAGCGGCGGTAGAGTGAAGACCAGGAGACCCCCATTGCACGGCGCATGGCACGTCGGGACGCGCCTGCCAGGAGCCGGCGACGATGGCGCATGGAGCAGGCCATGGAGGTGCTGCAGCGGATGTATGGCCCTGACGCACGGTATTGGTCGGACGGGCAAGAGCAGGCCATGCAGCATATTGTGGCGGGCGCAGGGCAGGTGCTGGCAATCCTGCGGACCAGTGAAGGGAAGAGTTTGCTGTACCTCCTGCCGTGCCAGCTGCCAGGGGCCGGCACCACCGTGGTGATCCTGCCGTTGGTGGTGCTCAAGGATGAGATGCAGCGCCGGTGTGCGGAGGCCGGAATTGCAGCCCATATCTGGGAGGCGCAGACCGATCCTGACCGGTTATATTCCTGTCCACTGATCATGGTCGCTGTTGAGCAGGCCGTGCGGCCCAAGTTCCGTGACTTCCTCAACCGACAGCACATGGCGAACCAACTCGACCGGGTGGTTTTCGATGAGTGCCATCTGGCGGTCACCGCGGTGTCATACCGAGCAGTAATGGGGCTCCTGCCGCAGTTACGCGATCTAGAAGTTCAAATGGTGTTCTTGACTGGGACCCTGCCACCATTCATGGTCGTCGAGTTTGAGAGGGGGATGTTGTTGCGGGGAGCCCGGATGATCCGTAGCCCCACCACGCGGCGGGATATATATTTCCAGGTCCGCCAGTGCCCACCCCACCACGATCTCGTCCGTGACTTTGCCATTCCCAGCATTCAAGAATCCATTGCGCAACTCCAGCCTGGCACCCGATGCATTATTTACGGCTGGCAGATTGCCATCACGGAGCAGATCGCTGAGGCTATTGGTAGTCCCATTTACCATTCCAAGTCGGGTAGTGTGGAGGAGAAGGCCGAGGTTTTACAGCACTGGCGGGATGGTCAACCGGCGTGGGTTGTTGCCACCTCTGCATTTGGGTTGGGAATCGACCATCCGGCAGTGCGGTTAGTGGTTCATGTTGGGGTTCCATGGAGTCTGATCGATTTCGCGCAGGAGGTTGGGCGACTGGGACGAGATGGGGCCGGTGGGCAGTCTGTCGTGTTGGTTCCCCCGCAGTGGAAGCCCACGAGCACCACCCGTGAGGGACGACCCCTGGGCTTGGCTGAAGCAGCAATGCAGACCTACCTCTCCACCCCTACATGCCGCGTGTTGGAACTCTCCCGATTCCTGGACGACGACGCCTGCCCCTGTCAGCCTGGGGCGCTGTTATGTGACCGATGCATCCAAGCCGGTGCGGTTTGTGTTCCTGAAACGACCCCCACGCCTAGCCATGCCAGTGATGAGGCGGCGGTGGGTGAAGCCGATGACGATGACTTGGCTGATTTGCGAGCTGGGGGTGAAGAGCTTCGGCGGCAGGTCCAGACGCAGGCACGTTCTTTGGCCGACTACACTGCATCCCTCCGGGCGTGGCGTGGAATGTGTATGATCTGCTACCACCTGCCCCGTCCTGGCTCTGGGGTAGGGTCCCATGCGCGACACCCATTGCAGGCATGCCCTAATGGGCGGCGATTTGAATTTTTCGACGCGAAAAAGCAGGCCCAGGAAGAGGGGAAAGGGCGAGGTGGGTGGTTTGGTAAGTTTAGTAGCTGTTACTGGTGTTTCAACCCATGGGTGGTCTGTGACCAGCAGAGACCGGGTCGGTGCGAGTTCACGGACCTTGTGATGCCTATTTGCTGGGCTGTTTACCAGAAGCCCACGTGGGTGCAGCAGTACCTAGGTGAACTAGGCGGGGGGCATGTGGTGGACGACGAGGCAGGGTATATGTTATGGCTGGGACTGGATCAGCCAGTGCATGGGGAAGTGGCTTCAAATGCGGTCCTTGTTGCAGATTTTGTGTTACGACAGATGGATGCAGGCCGATAGGGATAACTAAACCAATGTGAGGTGATGCAGTGTTTTGGGCGGGAGCCAGAATGCCAGCAGCCTGAGGCAGGGTTTCAAACTGATATGCGGGTATATAGTGATTTCAGTGGGAGCCAGAATGCAGACCAGATGATGTAGAGTTACAACTATATTATTCTAATTCTACAGTCATTTTTCTATAGAACAACACCTTTGCATATGACTTTTAGTGGGGGTATAGAGACTTTTGACATCAAACTCCATATCACCCTAACCTACTTGCCATCCTCTAATAGTCGAACAAATGCACTGAACAAACAGAATGAACTTAATGAAGTGATTAGGCTGCTTGGACTGGACAATCTGGATGAACTCAATGAACTTGATGAACTTGACGAACTCAACGAACCAGAAGAACCAGATGAACAAGTTGAGCCAGTTGAGCCAGTTGAGCCAGTTGAGCCAGTTGAGCCAGTTGAGCCAGTTGAGCCAGTTGAGCCAGTTGAGCCAGTTGAGCCAGTTGAGCCAGTTGAGCCAGTTGAGCCAGTTGAGCCAGTTGAGCCAGTTAAATGAGTTAAACCAGTTAGACAAGTAAACTGGATCAGCCAGTGCATGGGGAAGTGGCTTTAAATGCAGTCCTTATCACAAATTTTATGTTATAATAGATGGATGCAGGCTGATAGGGATAACTAAACCAATGTGAGGTAATACAGTGTTTTTGGCAGGAGCCAGAATGCTAGCAGCCATATGTGGTGATGAAGGGTTACAATGATCCGAACAGGATCAAGGACAATCCAAAGGTAACGCAAGAACAATAACAGTAGAGATAGAAGCAAGGCCTATTGAGTACGTATACTCAATAGTAAGAGAGTAACTGACGAATCGGACTAGCGTTTGATTGGTTTGAACCCTTTGTGAGGGATTATCAAACGCACGACGAAGATGACCAGGACGATGAGACTAAAGCCATGTTCGCCAGCTACGACGTTTTCAAGAAACGACTGGAGGGAACTTTCGGCGATATCGACAAAGAGCGCAACGCTGAACGACAGCTATGGCGACTCAAGCAGACTGGATTTGTGGGGGATTATGCTTCGAAATTCCAACAGATTATATCCCATTTGGATTGGGACGAAGACGCATACATCGCACGATTCGAAGAAGGGTTACGACCGGACATCCAGGAGAAGCTGATCTGGATGGAACGACCCAAGACGCTTAGCAAAATGATTGAACAAGCGGTCAAGATTGACAACAAATTGTATGACTTCAACATGCGCAGAAAGGAAAGGAATTTGGGGGGTTTCAGCAACAGGCGCACCACGAATTATCGACCGAACGACAGAAGGCCAGCTCAACCACGGAGCCAAGGATACACGGATCCTTACGGGCCACGACCAATGGAGTTAGACGCAACTCAACAGACGGCACTTTCCAATGAGGAAAGAGAACGGTGAAGAAAAGAGAAGTTGTGTTTCCGGTGCGGGAAGCCGGGGCACATGTACAAATCCTGCAAGCAGCAACCCTGGAAGGGTAAGCAGGACGGAAAGAAACAGTTACGTGCGACCAAAGAACTCAGTGCCACGAGGGGCAGAGATGGTTATGACACAACTGGGATCATCAAACCTAAGGAAAAGATTGATGCGCGACTTAAGAAGCTGTACCAAGAATGTACTAGCTTAAGTGACGAAGAGATTGAAATGGAGCTCAGCGCAGAAGACTCCACTGATTATGAGGATGCGAGCAATGGTTGGCCCACAAGGGACTCAAATGTGCTTGCGGCAACCAACCAGGAAGCATCAACTGACAACGACGGATGCGACTCCACTGAATGGGAAGACATGACACCCGACGGAGTCATCCGCAGACTAACGATACTCACGAACTGGAGAAATCGGATTATCGGTTCCGATGAAGAAAAGACCGACCAGGATGAGCCAGATCAAGAAGACTTTCCCGCAATAGATTGGGCCACGACTGACCGACCTATTGATCCTCTTGACGAAGAGTACGGAACTCAGTGGGTGAGCTTTGATCCCAACAAAGAGCAGTCTCACGGGATTCCCGAGACACCCAGTGACAATTCCCCACGAGATGATGAAGAAGCGGACCGATACGCCGCTTGGCTAAGAAAGCCAGATGAGAAACAGTTGGCAGAACTGCATAAACACGAGTTAAACGCACGGATCCTTGAGAAAGTTAAACAAGGAATAAAAGGATGCGTTCACCAAAACCTGGAATGTTGGACTCAAGTCGAATCTTGGGAACAACATATGACACACTGCAATCAACACAAGGTCTACTGCCGAAAGTGCAGGAAATGGAACGACGAATATCACCACGAACTTCGTGAAGTTTCGCGGAAGAAACTTCCAGGACCAGTTCACGGATCATGCGACTATGACTGGTGCCTATGTCGACACTTTCGAGGGCACCCAGGACACAATGAAGTGACATGGATCACTTGCTACAGTAACAACTGCAGTGTTCACCACGATAATAAATACGTGGCAAGGTTTTGGCCGGAAATACCAGCAATCGTGAAAGGAAATAATACTTGTCCATGTTGGAATCACGACCGAGTCAGGACCAGTTCCGATGGTTGTGTTGGGACACTTCGAACGACTAAACTTCGATGTCGTACCAACGGGACGGTATGATGTGGTGTTAGGGATTCCATGGCTCAGGAATCATAACCCAGCGATTGACTGGAACATGAATGAGATCCAGTTTAACTGCAGTTGCCCACTACAGGACCGAGTTCAAGGGGAAACCGGGACCTTACGGCGCGTTAGGTCAAGAAGCAATGACAACGACGCTAAGCGGTCAATGGGTGGACCGAAGAGAGAAGCGACAACCAGCCAGAAAGTAACAGCGGTACTAGCAGCAACGAAACCATCGCAAAGGCTCGCAATGATGGAACTACCGGGATGGGCACCGGAGAGCAACGAAGAATATGCTGATATTATGACGCCAGAGGGCGAAGAAGACTCCTGGGAAAGCGAGAAAAACGAGATAAGGTTAGGTTCAGGGACCCACCAGATCTTGGCAACGACCAATCAGGACACAAACGATTCTCGCAATAACAACCCCAGAGGTGACCAGAAAAAAGCTAGCGAGATAGCTTTACCGGAAGCATACAGCGAATTTGGAACATTGTTTGGACAACCCAAACAATATGAACTGCCAAGGCACGGCAAGCATGATCACAGAATTCCACTACAAGAAGGAAAATCGCCAGCATGCAAGAAAATATACCAGATGTCGGAAAAAGAGTCAACGACACTAAAAGAATATATCGATGAGCAATTACGACTTGGGAAGATATGACCATCGACCTCGCCAGCAGGGCATGGTGTACTCTTCGTACCCAAGAAAGATGGAAGTCTACGACTCTGCGTGGACTATTGACCACTGAATGCGATAACGATCAAGGATCGTTACCCACTTCCGTTGATCCACGAAATCCAAGATCGAATTCGAGGAGCTAAGTGGTTCACGAAGTTGGACATCACGGACGCATACAACCACATTCGAATCGCAGAAGGCGAAGAATAGAAGACAGCATTCAGAACGAAATATGGTCATTATGAATACCTGGTTATGCTATTTGGGCTTACCAACGCACCAGCATTGTTTCAAAGATTCATCAACGAAGTATTACAAGAGTACTTAGATCTCTTCGTGATAGCTTACTTGGATGATATCTTGATCTTTTCAGAAAATAAAGGAGAGCATGTGGAACATGTCAGCAATGTTTTACGAAAGCTTCAAGAAGCAAACATCAAGCTAAAGCTGAAGAAATGTGAATTCCACGTCCAAGAGACTGAGTTTCTAGGGCACTGGATATCCATGGAAGGGATCCACATGGACCAGAATAAGGTGAAGGCAATCATTGAATGGCCTCAACCTAAGAACGTCAAGGAAGTTCAACAATTCATTGGACTTGTTAATTACTATTGACGATCATCACTGGATACGCCAAGATCATGCATTCACTCTTTGCATTGCTCAAAAAAGTGAACGAGTTTGAATGGAGCAAAGATTGTGACGAAGCTTTCAGCGAAGTCAAAAAACAAATTGTGGAAGCACCAATCTTAGTGCAACACGATCCAGAAAAAGAGACAACAATTGAGACTGACGCATCCGACTATGCGATCGGAATGCGCATGACTCAACCAGGAAATGATGGGAAGCCACGACCGGTGGCGTTCCACTCAAGAAAATTAATTCAAGCAAAACTCAACTACGACATCCATGACAGAACTACTAGCTATAGTGGTAGCATTCAAAGTCTGGAGAGTCTACCTGGAAGGAGCGAAACACACTATCATCGTGAAAACAGACCACAAAAACCTCACGTTCTTCACAACAACAAAAGAATTAACAAGACGGCAAGCCAGATGGGCTGAAACACTCTCGCAGTACGACTTCAGGATCGTACACTGCAAGGGAACAGAAAACGGACAAGCCGACGCGCTTAGTCGACGACCAGACTACGAACTCCAGGGAAAGACGGTCGAACCAGCAATATTAAAGCAACAGGAAGATGGATCATTGGTGTATAATCACCACACACTTGCAGCAACCATCGAGTTGAATGAAGACCCATTAATTCAGAAAATCATCGAAGAAACAAAAGGGGACAGAATTATTCAGGACATGCTCGAAAACTCAGCAGATAATGAACATCTTACCACAGATGACCGAGGACTGATATACTTGCGAGGACTCATCTACGTACCCGAGTGTATGAGAAGCGAGATCATCGCAAGACATCATGACGACCCAATGCATGGGCATATGGGAATAGAAAAAACGGCTGAAGCCATTTTAAGGAATTACTACTTTCCAAACATGAGAAGGAAGGTACAGGGCTACATTCAGCAATGTGAAACTTGCATTCGAGACAAGCCAGCAAGACATCAACCTTACGGCAAAATGCAATCACCTGAAACACCAAAAGGGCCATGGGAATGGATTACTATTGATTTTGTCGGACCGCTACCAAAGTCAAAAGG